TAAATAAAATCAGAAATGAAAGAGGAGAAATAACCACGGATTCCACAGAAATACAACGGATCATAAGAAAATACTACGAGCAATTATACGCCAACAAATGGGACAATCTGGAAGAAATGGACACATTCATAGAAACATACAACCTCCCAAGACTGAGTCAAGAAGAAACAGAACATCTGAACCGACCGATTATCACCAATGAAATTGAATCAGGAATCAAAACCCTCCCAAAAAACAAAAGTCCTGGACCAGATGGCTTCCTAGGTGAATTTTACCAAACATTCAAAGAAGAATTATCATCTATTCTACTGAAACTATTCCAGAAAATTCAAGAAGAGAGAAAGCTCCCTAACTCCTTTTATGAGGCCACCGTTACCTTGATTCCAAAACCAAGCAAAGACATTACGAAAAAAAAAAAACCACAGGCCGATATCTTTCATCAATATTCATGGAAAAATCCTCAACAAAATATTAGCAAACCGAATGCAGTAATACATTAAAAATATCATACACCGTGATCGAGTTGGATTTATTCCTGAGACGCAAGGTTGGTCCAATATCCGCAAATCAATTAATGTGATACACCACATTAACAAATCGAAAGAGAAAAACCGTAGGATCATATCAATAGATGCAGAAAAATGTTTGACAACATCCAGCATCCATTTATGATAAAAACTCTCAGCAAAGTGGGAACAGAGGGAACATACCTCAACGTAATAAAGGCCATATATGAAAAACCTACAGCTAACATCATATTTAATGGGGAAAGGCAAAAAGCATTTTCCTTAAGATCCGGACAAGACAAGACAAGGATGCCCCCTCTCACCACACCTCTGCAACACTGTATTGGAAGTCTTCACCACAGCAATGAGACGAGGAAGAGAAATAAAAGGCATCCGAGTTGGAAAGGAAGAAGCCAAACTCTCATTGTTTGTCGATGACATGATACTATTTATAGAGAACCCTAAAGATTCCACCAATAAACTGTTAGAACTGATCAATATATTCAGGAAAGTAGCAGGTTACAAAATAAATATTCAGAAGTCAGTGGCATTTTTATACACCAATGATGAACTTTCAGGAAGAGAAATTAATTAATTAATTGTAATTCCAATCCATTTACAATTACTTCAAAACTATAAAATACCTGGGAATCAAATTAACCAAGAAGGTAGAAGACCTGTTCTCAGAAAATGATAAGTCATTGAAAAAAGATATTGAAGAAGATAGAAATAAATAGAAACATATATCACGTTCATGGGTTGGAAGAATCAACATCGTTCAAATGACCGTACTACTTAAAACACTCTATAGATTCAGTGCAATCCCTATCAAAATACCAATGGCATTTTTCAGAGAGCTAGAACAAATAATCCTAAAATTTATATGGAGCCATAAAAACCCCTGAATAGCCACGGCAATCTTGAGAAAGAACAAAGTTGCAGATATCACACTACCTGATAGCAAACTATACTACAAGTCTCAAATCAGTAATCAAAACATTACAGCACTGGCATAAAAACAGATACATTGATCAATGGAACAGAATAGAGAGCCCAGAAATAAATCCACAACTATACGCTCACTTACTATATGACAACGGAGGTAAGAACATACAATGGGGTAAATACAGTCTCCTCAATAAATGGTGTTGGGAAAAGTGGACAGATACATGCAAAAAAAAGAAGCTGGACCACCTGTTTACACCGTATACAAGAATAGACTCAAAATGGATTAAAGACTTAAATGTAACACCGGAAACCATAAAACTTCTAGAAGAAAACATAGGCAGTAAACTCTGATATTACTAACAGGAATTTCTTTTCAGATATATCTCCTTGGGCAAGGGAAACAGAACTAAAAATAAACAGGGCTACATCAAACTAAAACGTTTTTGTAGAGCAAAGGAAGCCATCCACAGAACAAAAAGACAACCGACTGTTTGGGAGACGATATTTGCTAATGATACATCCGATAAGAGGTCAATATCTAAAATGTATAAAGAACTTATACGACTCAACAACAAAAACAAACAATCCAATTCAAAACATGGGCAGAAGACCTGAACAGATACTTCTCCAAAGAAGAAATACAGATGGCTCATAGACACATGAGAAGATGCCCAAGGTCGCTGATCATCAGAGAAACGCAAATGAAAACCACAGTGAGATAGCGCCTCGCACCCGTCAGAATGGCCATCATCGATAAATCCCAAAACGAGGGTTGGAGAGCATGCGGAGGAGACGGAACCCTCGTCCGCTGTGGGTGGGATTGCAAATCGGTACAGCCACTATGGAAGACGGTCTGGAGGTCCCTCGAAAAATTAAAAACGGATCTCCCTTTTGAGCCAGCAATGGCACTTCTGGGTATTGATCCAAAAAAACCCCAAACGATAATTCCTAAAGATTTCTGCACCCCAGTATTCATGGCAGCACAATGTACGACAGCCAAGATTTGGAAGCCACCTAAATGCCCATCGACAGACGACTGGATAAAGAAATCATGGTTCATATACACGACGGAAAATTACTCAGCCATGGAAAAAAATGAAATCCTACCATTTGCAGTGACATTGATGGACCTAGAGGGTATTATGCTGAGTGAAATCAGTCAGACAGAGAAAGATAAATGCCATATGATTTCACTTACATGAGGAATCTAAGGAACCCACCCCCAAGCCCCCGTGCCCTGCACAGGCAGCTCCCTCTACCTGTCCGGCCCTCCCTCTGCGTCCACATAATCAGTCTCTCTGCACCCGGAAGACGTGACTCCAGGTCTGTGAAGACACCTGTACTGGGTTGGAGAGTGTCCCTCCCAAATGCAGGGTCACCTAACCTCAGAATGTGACTGCGTCTGGAAATAGGGCCTTTGCAGATGTAACCGGGTTACGATGAGGTCACACTGGAGTAGGGCGGGCCACATAAGGAGAGGAGAGACAGAGAGGGGAGGGGTCATGTGACACAGAAGCAGAGAGAGGGGGGATGTGTCTATCAGCCCAGGAACCAGCAATTGTGGGAAACTGGAGAGGGAAAGGAGGACCCCATTCCCACCGATCCCACAGAGCCCTGGAAGGTGTGCGCCCTGTGTCACCTAGACCTTGAGTTGTGGCCTCAGTGGCTATGTCACTCTGTAGTAATTTCTGACAGCAGCCACAGGAAACGAACACTCTCTCGTCAGCCCGAGACCCCAAACAGAGGACGGGCCTCTGGAGGACTGGCTGAGTGACTGTGCGCCCTGCTGTGGGAGGTCACACGCACACCTGGCTCCAGGCCCGGTCGGGGGCGGGGCCGGCACAGGGGCCCACTCAGTACTCCGCATCCTCACCTTACGCAGGGGCACAGTCCCGCTGCAGGGGACCGCTCCGATGACTAAAGTGACCCCGGGAAGGGCTTGGTGTGGCCGGCTGGGACAGGCCCTGTCGCCGTCAACATTACTTCTCAGAGTCACAAACGCCCTCCTACCTGCTCAGACCCCCCGGGCTTCGGGCCGAGCCACAGGCCCGGGGGGTCGAAGGGTCAGGCTGTGGTGACCAGTCCAGGGCCTCGCCTCCTTTCCCCGTGGCAGCCGTTGGGGAAGCCATTGACACCTGCTGGGCTCTCTGGGGCCGTGGTGAGCGTTGGGGCCTCACACACCATCTCCACTGTGTCTTCAGGCAGCACTGAGTTACTTGTGGGGACTGGAGAGTCTGGACTTTGGTCCGAAATTTGCAACAATGAGCAGGACACCGAGCTTGAAGGCAGCTAAAAAAATGAGAAACCGTCTTGAGTGCGTGACCCAGCGCAGGTGCCCGCAGGAGGGCGGGGGCCTGCGGAGCCCACGGCGGGCCGGGTTTGGAGAGGGCACTGAGGGTCAGTGGGGCCAGCTCTGGTCCTGGCTCTGCCCTGACTGCCGGCTCGGTTAGTCTCGGTCGAGGCACCTCGAGGCCTGCTCGGGGCCTCAGTTTCCCCATCGTGAATGGAACCCTCCAGAGCCCGGGCTACTCCAGCTCAGGGCCCTCGGCTCCCATTTGGCCACAGAATAAACTGTGGGTAACGCTCGGGCAGCGAAAGGCTTGCTGGAGCTGGTAGGGCCACCTCCTGACGTTCAAGCTCGCCTGACCCTAGCCGGGAGGCCACGCCCAGCCCTGCACCGTGCTCAGCGAGGAGGGGTGCTCTCACCCCCCAGAACCACACTCACCGTGCTTGCTGCTGCGTCACCGGCTCCTGTGAAGACAGACGGCAAACCGTGGTTAGCGGCTGAGTGGTGGGAGACCCTCCCGTCCCAGGCCAGCTGTGCCACTGAGCTTGAGCAGGGTCTCCCCTCGCAGAGGCGGTAACTCTGCCCCTGCAGAGTCGTCAGCCCGTCTCTCAGAGCCCGGCAGCTCAGCGGTGACTGCACTGTGCTGACTCCCAGGCCTATGTGGTCCCTTTCAGCCACTAACCTGCCCCACAGCCCAGGTTGTCACTTGGTCCTGTGCAGTGGCTCTAACTCAATGCTACATACCATGAGAGAAGCAACGGAACAGAGGTTGGCGTATTCTGCCAATAAGTTTCTTATAGTTGCAGCAAATGACGCAGCAAATGACGAAGCAGAAAACAATGAACAATAAAACAGATACGATCGCAGGCCAGGGGACTCCATCCTCTGAAACTGGGAAAAACAGAAAATGTCTCAGAAGGTCAAAAATAGACCTTTACTTTCAGCAGCCTTATGATAAAGAACCAACCGAGAGACCCAGCGATTCCACGGAGACTGTATCCGAAGGAAAGCGAGCACTGTGTTGAGGGGCGTCCGCACCCCACGTTCCAGCGGCCAAGGCGTGGAAGTGACCTAAGCGTCCACAGACGACTGACTGGAGAGAAGTCGTGCTCTGTGCACACGCGCACATGTGCGCACGCACACGCGCGCGCGCGTGCACGCACACACACGCACACGCACACACGCACACACAGAGGAATATTACTCGGCCGGGAAAAGGGAGGAAATCCTGCCATTTGCGGGAACGGGGATGGACCTGGAAGGCGTCACGCTAAGTGAGGTACGTCAGCCGAAGACAAACGGCATCATCGATATGCAGAATCTCAAAACGAAGTGAACTCAGAGGCAGGAGTGGGGGTGGGGGGATCCGAGGAAAGGGGGGCCAAAGGTGCGAGGCTGAGTTCTGAGACGATAAGCCGGGGGAAGTGATGCATAGCACGGTGACCATGGTGACGCTGCTGCTGGGACCTGTGACGGCTGCTGAGAGCGCAGATCATACACATTCTCATCACAAGGAGAAAAACATTCTTTTTTTTCCTCTTCTACGAGATCTACGTAGAACGATAGAGGCTAACGAAACTTCTTGCGGGGATCACGTCACGATACCTGTATGTCATCGTGCTGTTCGCCCCACATCTACACAGCACCGGAGGCCAACCCCATCATGACAGAACTGGGGGCTCCGGAGGGCGAGAATAGACCAGCGAGCACAGCATCTGCACTCGCTGGCCCAGAAGACACCGCCAAGCAGCAAGCGGGTGTCTTTCATCCTGGCCTGGCCCTTCCTGGGGCAGGGCTCCAGGATGTGGTGGGGTCGGGGGAGAGGCGGCCCCTGGTGGGCACAACGGGGGGTAGGCAGGACCAACACCCTCCCCCTGGGGTGCTGCGGCAGCGGCAGGTCTCAGTTGGGCCTGAAGGATTCATCTGATCTTGTGGGTGTTTGCCAAAGTGACGTTCTGAGCCCACCCTGAGGGGTGTCCTGTGTCAGGCTGCATCTTTGGCACAGGCCCTTCAGGAGGTGGACAGCTGGGCACCCCAGTTGGCAGGGGTGGGCAGAGCTTGGCCATGGCTCTGGGGACCGACGAGGCCTGCCTTGCCCTGTGTTAGCACTGCAGGTCACGAGGTGAACCGTGAACACAGGTGTCTTGGTCTCCACCCCTGTTTTCTGACACGGGGCTCCCAAACCCATCCAAATTTCCTCAGCGACAGGAGTGTCCTTTGTCCTAAAGAGGTGACTCCAGCTGGGCTCCGGGGTAAGAGTTGATGAGCAGAAAGACCAAGCTATGATTCGAAGCTTGCAACTTTCAGCCCGACCGCCCATCCTCTGCGGAGGGGAGCAGGGCTGGGGCCGCGTAGTAACCGGTCGTGCGAATGTGACGGAGCCACCATAACGATGCCGGGAGTACGGAGTTCGGAGACTTCCAGGCTGGCTGATCATCCGTGTGCCGGAAGGGTGGCGCGCTCCAGCTTCTGGGGACACCAGCTCCGGCACGCGGGACCCTCTGGACCTCACTCCACGTATATTCATCTGGCTGTTCACCTGTGACCCTCACGTTACATTCCCTAACAAACCAGTGGACAGGTGAGTGTGTTCCTGAGTTCTGTGAGCTGCTTTAGCAAATAACTGGATGCAAGGAGGGAGTGGTTGGAATCTCCAACTTGTAGCCAAGTCAGAGAGCAGCTGTGGGTGACCTGGAGATCCTTGATTTCCAACTGGCGTCAGAAGGGGGGGGTGGTCTCGCGGTGGTGTGGAAACATCCCAAAACTAGTCCGGCAAAAAACCAAGCAGTCCACTCTGAGAGGTGGAGAACTCGACTTGGCACGAGCGGTCCCAGAGGAGCTAACGCTCGGAAAGTCTGGGCCATGAGCACAGCCGCAACATTCCCTACATACGGGGTTCGTACGCGAGCTGATTGGTCGATCGAGCTCAGATCGTTACAATCGGCGTGAGTTGCTGTGGTTACGGCGGGAGTTATTATGGGTTGCCGGCAGCGGCAGAGTGTTACCAACTGTTACAGGAAGAGGGGGCTGCTTGGGTACAAAGTGCTATGAGAGGCTCGGGCTGTGAGGGGGGACAGACAGGTACATTTACAGGTCAAGCAAAGTGCAAGCGAGCTCTTGCCCGCAACAAGCATCCTTACAGAAGCAGGACGAAAAAGCTGACTCGTTTGCAATGAGAATTCCTCCCACTTCCTCTTCATTCCCTTCTTTTGATGCTCGTTGAAATGCCTTTTAGGGCATCACCTTGTGATTTCCCTCTTGACTTCCCGGGACTGGGGGCCGGTAATTCCGTCGTGTAAGGATTTTCGCTGGTCTTTTTCTTCGCTGCGGCTCTGAAGGGTACTTTCTTTCGACTCTTGCTGCCTTGTGATTTATTCCTGATGGTGACAGCCTGGTCCTTAAATTGACTTAACACACGTGTTTTCTCGAATTCGACTCGGCCGTGATCCGTCTTTTCTCTCTTTCC